AAGTTATTTTTTTTTACTTTCAGAAAAAATTAAAATGCAAGTGATAGATAATAATAAAAAGTGGTAATAAAATAAATAATAATCATTAAATTAAAAATAATGATTAAAATGAGGTCAAAGTTTAGTGAAACATACAAGGCAATGATTCTATATGAGTTCTAATTTCTTTACACTTCTATGAAAAACTGAAGCCATTACATTTGCCAAGGAGATAGCATTTTTATCACTGATTGATATTTTTACTTTTGTGTAAGCAATGATTTGTTATAATGTAAACGAAGAAAAAAGTGATTAAAACTTTATTCTTCGAACAATCACAATTGAAACTTTTGACATTTCATATATTACAGTAATTATTATTCATAAAATATTTGCATGATATTATACATTTACCTTCTTAAATGTTAAATTGTTATATTCAAAAACAATAACAGCAACAAAATAGATAGATAGATCGACAGATTGATCGATTGATTGATTGATTGATCAATAAGTATGAGTTAATTTTCGTTCTTTAGAAATAGTTTTTATTCAGTAAAATTTTATCTTGGATACTCAATTATTTCATTCAAATAAAAGTATTAGAGAACAACAAGAATGATAACAATTGTTAGTGGGATCTAAAAATGCCATTATGATGCAAAACCAATGGTACCACAAGCAAGGGGTTGTGTATTTTCATTCCGCAGTGACCATTCGACTGCTGATAATTTATGAATGACCAGTGAGTGACCGACGAGTGAAATACTACGCGGCCATTTGACTTCATGATCTCAAGTCATATATCATTACATAAATAAATAAAATAGATTTTTATGGATCAGCTATTCATTCAAGTAGTCTTAAGCAGTCTAAATCTAGTTAGCACTGAACGAACGTCAAATTAGTGTGTGTTAATTTGCAGTTTACTTTAACTTCAGTACGTTATACGCTACTTTCAGAACTTTTGAAAATATTAAAGCCATTTTATAATTTCAGGTTTGAATTATTATTTATTTTTTTAAACATATAATGCTAGTATGCAAAAATTATGTAGTAAAAAAAATATAAGTAGTAATAATTTGTTGTAAAGAACGCAACGAATAGCAATTTGTTCTAAATTCTAGCATAAGATTGAAGATTTTTTTAAATTATTGCAATTTTTTAATTATTTTATTTTTTCTTCATTTAATTATCGTACATATTTGAATTGTAGATTTTTAAATAACAAATATTTTTGAATAATGTATTTTCAAATATGTATGATAATTAAATATATGTTCAAAAAATTGCACAAAAATAACTGATAAGAATTTGATAACAGCTATGAGAACTAACCAATAGTTGCGTTTTTTGGTTCATTCACTACAATATCACCAAATATAGCCGAGACATTAAAATTTTTATCAGCTATCATAACAGGCCCAATATTTGCGCATGAATTTGATAAGTCTCCAGTCTGATGTACAATAAGTGCGTGTTCACCCTTAGGTAATCCTGGAATTTCTTTAGTTAGTTGTAAAATTAAACTTGTATTCTTCAACTGACTTTTTTTTCTCACTAAGCGTTACTTTTTACGATTACATTTTTTCTCGGGTTTATTGCTGTTTAAGTACAGCAAAATAAATATTGAGTGTCAAATATAAGCTATGAGATTTTTGAGCTAAGTATAAGCTATGAGATTTTTGAGCTAAGTATAAGCTATGAGATTATTGAGCTAAGTATAAGCTATGGGATTTTTGAGCTAAGTATAAGCTATGAGATTATTGAGCTAAGTATAAGCTATGAGATTTTTGAGCTAAGTATAAGCTATGAGATTTTTGAGCTAAGTATAAGCTATGAGATTATTGAGCTAAGTATAAGCTATGGGATTTTTGAGCTAAGTATAAGCTATGAGATTATTGAGCTAAGTATAAGCTATGAGATTTTTGAGCTAAGTATAAGCTATGAGATTTTGAGCTAAGTATAAGCTATGAGATTTTGAGCCAAGTATAAGCTAAGAGATTATTGAGCTAATCATTTTTTGGATCTTAAATTGATAATTGTTCTAGAAAA